TACATTTCTAGAAAAGTTGTAATGTGTCATACAAGGGTCCTTTTTATCATTTGAGCACCAGGCATTGCTAAGCAGGTATCAACCAAATGCAACCCTAAACCTGTACAAAGCCCCTTTTTATCACGGAGGGATGTCATTCATTTTCATTTATAACCTACTGACATTCCAGAAAAATTCGGGTGTATTTCTACAGTTCCAGGGTCAGAAGTAGTATGGTCCAGCAAGCACAAAACCGAGACGAAAGGATTCTCCACAGCAAGAGGAAAACCCTCACAGCATTCCACGCTCCTTCAGCGCCCACCTCCGACTGCCTTACTCAGGGTCTACGTCACAGCTCATTTTCACACCAGAGCACTGGTGGAAGCACGTGCACTCATTTTCAGCCTCTCATCTGTGTTATAAGGAACGAGAACCTAACGACAAAACTAAGGGGATCATTTTCTTGAGATTTTTGGTTTAACATTTGCTACTTTGGGGGGAAAACCAAACAACTTTTCAGGCCTTTCATATACACTCAGAAAGAGCCAGAAGCGAGGTCCCCTCCTTTCCCATGCCAGCGTTTACAAATTCCCAGAGGAACCAGAAAATCCAGCCGACTTCAAATTCAGTTTGGCGGAGGCAATACCTCATATTGGAGGCGTTCAATAATTTAAAAAACCACATTTCGACATACACACTTCTGTTTTAACGCCTCCAAGCAGCCTGATTATTGGAGCCACTACAGATCTGGAATAGCAGTTTGAAGGATCTGGCAACTCCCACACGGCACATGGGGCTGCAGCACTTCACGCAGGAGCCACAGACCACATGAGTATTTCAGAAAGGGCCTGCAAAGCCCTTGCCAACGTGCTGGCATTTAAAGTCCTGGCTTTCTCTTTCTAAGTTTTTAATTTAAATATATGGGCTACAGAGAAAATAAATCGGGGTGTATCATTAATGGGTTGGTTTTTGCAGTGCCCTACCTTGCTATTTTCCATTACATACCGTATCTGCTTCCATGGGTGAAAATCTACATCTCTCTCTTTTTTCTTTCATCAACTTCACTTGGCTGCGCCATTCCTGAAGCATTTCTCTATTGCTGAAAAAGTTAATTTATATCCAACTTTTAGAGCCACAATTGAAGAGGTGAGTGCTAACTGCTTTTGTTCACATGCTGAACGCAGTAGGATACTTACTACACATACTGGTTCCTAACAAAGAGAAACAAAATACCAGGGGCCTTGCCATGAAACATTAACTGGAGGAAGAGGAGAACTGCAAAGACCCACCCTCACTTGAGAGGAGGAGCAGAGCAGCGAAGAGCAGGAGACAGATTCAGACAAAAGCCAAGCAGAGTAAGGGAACTGCTCAGGGGACTGGGAACAAGCCAGACAGTTCACCTCTGGGCTATAGTTAAACTTGGTTAAGTTTAGATACTGAGTACATTGGCGTGAACATAAAGAAGTAGACAGTTATACCACAAAAAGTTCTACTGGGTATCATAGTCTGACCCATCAAATTTTTAAGGTTCATCAATAAAGGTCTCATTAATATGATGTCTACTCTGATTCTGAACGTCCACAGTGATTCTCCAGCTCTTTGTTTCAGGCCTAAGTCTCAGCTGCTTCTCCTTGTACCACCATTGCCTGGCACATACACAGAGTAACCCTCCTTCAATTCCACTGCCTCTTTAAAAATACTTGTCAGCTATAATAATGCCTAATAAATTAATAGTTTAACAAACAATAGACTTTGTTCCCAGTCTCGTTATAGATGCATTCCTACAGTCTTCCCAGTATCTTCCTCTTGACCTCTATATTCTGTCTGTAACTGTTCATTAATCTAAGGAATGCTGCAAGAAGCCAAATGAGCACTTCGTGTCAGCATCTCCCTGAGAACGAATGAGGGTCAGAAAAGAAGGCAGCCACGATTCAAAGGCAGGGCAGGTTGCGGCACGTGAAAGCTCGGCTTTCGTTCCCGGTGGTCGCTCTGCTGCCATGCACACAGCTCGCAGTGGAAGCAGGCTCATTTGTACTGGCTCTGGCCCAAACGATCGCTCGCTGCCCAGTCATGAGCACCCAGATTCACGTTTCTTAGGAGCGGGCATCCTGCTCAACCGATGGCGTTCCCTGCCTGGCTGGAAGGGGAGACGAGAATTCCCTGGCCTTTCTTCTCTCCTCCTGGTTTTCCCCTCTCTCCCGGTGCAGGGATGCCCAGGGAGCACCAAAGCACACCAGGTTTAACCCAAACCGCTGGAGCACAGAGCTGCACTTTGTGCAGCCCCCAAACCCAGGGCATTGCCCTTTCGTAACACAGCCACCTGGAGCTGCCAGGAGTGCCAGGGAGATGCCTTTGTCCTGTAACACGACTTTCGTAACCCCAGTTATAAAAGAAAAAAGGCATTAAGATGATACAAATTAGGACTAACACTGCCTCATTGCTCGGGTCTAGTCTGTAGTAAACGGATGGATTTCTGAACAGCAGTCCAAATGTAAGCATGCAGTGGGAAAATAGGCAGGGATATAAACACGTTCTTCCAGGAGAATTTGCTCAATGCATACACTTTTTATACCCTGGATATATCACCGGTTTATGCCATATGCAGAGTTTGCCCCCTAGCTGTAGTCTTCTGTCAGCAAAGATGAAGTTACATTTAGGTGTACATGGAATGTAACATATGAATGTACTGAAGCAGATTTATTTTCTGCTCAATTGGAAGGGGAATTCATGGAGTCCCATGGCTGAGCTGGTAAGAAGCTTGGTACATTGCCTTTCTTGCTGCCTTGGAGCAGCGTATTTTGTACAGAAAAGCACTCTGTATTTCCCCTTGTAGTGTGAAACATTTGAAATTACTTCTTTCCTTATAAACAGCCAACTAGGCAATCTATTAAGAAGCTAAGCAGCAACTTCTAAAAGACAATGACATTGCAATACTTGCCTTTTCCTTTGTTCAGATAAAGCTTGTTCCTCTTTCAGCTCCTTTTCTGCTACCGATCTGCACTTTTCAGCTCGCTTTGCCCGAATTGTCCTGTCAAAGGACAGAGACTCGATAAATTCATTTCTCTGTGTGGACATGCTCCTTTTAAATTGGACAGTTTGATATTGTTGATTAAACACTACACAGAAAACTAAGCACATCTAATGATGGTGATATACACACTCTACACCGGTTTTTATCTACTAGCGATCCTGCATCCGAGCAGTCTGGTTTATTTCAATATAACCATGAAAATATTTAAAGTAGAAACTTACTTAAGCGATTTACCAAATTAATTACTTCACAAAACCCACTGCAAGCCTAAGGTGGTATTGTGAGGAAAAAAGTAAGCACAAACCGTGAATTCTGCAAGATTTTTTCCATAGTGTGGACACCTCAAGAACAAAACCCCCTAAACCGTGAGAGTATCGACATCAAACCGTGTGTAAAACACAGACAGCGGAGCACAGGGCGAAGCAGGGCGATGCAAGGTCTGAGAGCTGGCGGGGAGGCCCGGGGCGAGGACGGGCTGGCAGCTCCAGGCTCTCGTCCCCTAGGAAAGCCTCACCGTGACCGCAGGGTGCAGAGCCGAGGCAGTGCCTCGCCACAGCCGTGCGTCGGCGGTCACCGAGATCTCCCCCCATCCCTTCCACGCTGATTAGGCACGTGGCTTTTTGCTGCTGACTTACGGTATTTTAAGTTTTCTGGGAGTGACATCAGAGAGGTGGAGGGAGGCAAACACGAAAGGGTGAGGAGCAAAAGAAAGAAGGCAAGGAAGAAAGTTCACAGAAAATATAAAAACGCCTTCCTGTCTTTGGTTGACATCTGAAACCCAATCAAACAGTAGTTTACAGTATCAGTCAGCTCTAGTTTATTAAAATCTAGTGCTAATAATAATTTTTAAGTAACAATAAAAAACATTCCCAAATATTAGGGGGGAAAAAAATCACTGCTATTATGGTAAACACTAAAATAGTTGGACAAAAAAATAAGATTAAGGACACTTCCCGTGCGTTTATTCTCTCCTTTACACAAATCCTCTTTCAGAAAGGATTCAGCAACAAATGCTCCCAAATAGGGTTTGCATTATTTGCATATTGTCAAATATGACAAATAAAGCATTTATTAAATGCTTTTTATGCAAATGTAAGGAAATTTAACATATTATCTTGTATTTATACCGAGTTATTTATCATACTGCATATACTGGAAATGAAAAATTAAGGTACCTGCAGGATTCTACAGCCTTTGTTACCCTGTATTTTAAAACTCTATTTCAGAGGAATGAATCTGGACATTCAAGGGTACAGTTATCGAAATAGGAATAAAAAAAAGGAAGTAAATGAGAAACTATAAGAGAGAGTGGTTTTTAATTTTGGAGAAAAAAAACTTTTAAGATAATAGAAAGTGTAAGTTGTTTTGTATTCTATATACGTATGTCAAAAATACCATTTATTCATCAGACCTATCTGGCAATGAGTCTAATGATGCATATTAAGCTTTTGTATTTTCCAGCGGAAACGCAGAGTTTTCCAGCACTCGCAAGATCCTTCTCACATACCACTGCGTGGAGCTTAGTCACCTGCAGAGACCAGCTGACTCGGAGCAGAGCTGTTCCTTCCTTCTGTGGTTTTTCCCTGCTTGAGGAAAATCATGGATTGCACCTACACGTTTGTCAGCAAGAAATTCTTCCCTTTCAACTTTTATAATTTCTTCTTTCAGCTTCTGGAATCTGAGCTTTTCCTCTTCGTTAGGCCACTCCTCTGACAAATCCAGACTGGACTGCAACAGTTCACTTAAGTTCAGCTTTTCAACAGGTGGCATTTCTATTGGAATGAAAGGGAGACTACTGTCAGCCTGTACATCAAGTGAATTAAGTTAGATTTTCCTTCCTAAGCAAAACACAGTGGTTAAATAGTGTCAATCAATCAATCCATCCAACAGAAGCGGGATTTGTTGGTCTTTTTTTTTTTCTTTTAATACATATTTTATGCTCAAAGATTTTTCACAAGTTTAAAGCACTCTCTGTTCCGGAAGAAACCAAGAGTTTATTGATGAACATGAGCAGAACCGGGGCTTCCTTTTGGCTGACAACTTGTGTATCGTAATTTGGTAAACTCTTCGCCCAGCTTGTTATCAATGCCACCGTGCAGCAGCTGATTCAACGTTCAACATCAAATGTACCGTATAAACGACAGTGATTTCTGAAACGGAGGAGGACATGAAAGTGGAAAATCCCAGCTTTATACTGGCATCTCTGCGCGGAGGAAAAAACCAGAGCGGAAATTAAGACTCACATAATGCATGTACATACAGGGATTGAGTTAAGGCTGTATATAACCCTAGTTTTTTCTCTCACTTCATTTTTCTGGAGCATTTATAGCCTGCCAATGTAGATTTGGGTATAAATAAGTATTACGTGAACTGTGTATGACTGAATTAAAGATAGAGTTTTCTGCATGATGAATAGGAGTTAAAAATATGTTCCATGCATCAGAGGAAGTAAAAAGGCAAAGCAAACAGATACAATAATCATTAACATACTACAAGTGCCTAAATGCAATCTGTGAGTCAAAACAGGGAAGATCTTTTAACATAATCAATTTAAATATGTAAAGTAATGTAACGACAAAAACCAAAGTACTGATGAAAGCTCTAGCACACCTTGCATTTCACCCCAACGGGCATCTCGGGTTAAACAAATTTAGCATTATCTCAAATTACACCTTTATAGGTATTAATCTGCACAAGCAACTGAACTTCGGTATTTCCACGACGGTGATTAATCCTAGGGTACGTCTATGCCCCACTCCAAAGCGTGACTTAGGCTGACGTACACAAACCACAGTCACCAGGGAGTTGTCAGGGTACCCACAGAAGCGCCAAGCGCAGCAGTAGCTGACCACCACAGAAGTCATCCACTCTTCTGGGTAGGTCTGTACTCCAGACCTTCCGCTGCCCAAACAATACCCGCAACAGCCAAACACATCGCAGCTCACCTTTGGCCGTGGTGTTGAGGCATGGTAAGGCACACAACGGTTTGGTTCTATATGAGCTATAGACTCACGAGGTTCCCTCAATCCTAGAGAAGAGACACACTGGATTTCATCTCCCTCCTCTTCTCCCATTTTAGAGAAAAAGCATTATTCCAAGGTACATTCTGTTATCCTCTCTGCATGAAGTATGTATATACTACTTCTTACACACTGCGCTCATCCAACATGAACAGATGGGCCACGTGGGTGGGAGCAAAAAAACTCCTGCATATTACAGAAGGTTCCCAAACTTCATGTGCATGCCCACAGATTCTAAATATTAAAGTCCACGGGATTGTTTGTCTTTAAATGTACCATGATCCAAACTACCATTAAACACGGGAACACAATTAAGTCACAATGCTGTTCCAGAGCCTAACTGAGAACGCTTTTGTCATTCTAATCTATTGCATTTGAATGAAGGAGGACAGAATGCAACCCCACATTCAAAAGCAGACAAAAGTCAGCAGAAAAAAATGCTTTTGATTTGCTATTTTGAAGAACACTGACAAAATCCTCAAAATTTTCAAAATTTTGTATCGCTGAAGGGGAGTTAAAAACCAAAATAACTAACCGTAGTGTTTCAAGTACATTACTCGTTTATTTGGAAAGGGAGCTGTAACAAATGCCCAAGGGAACCTGGGAAAGCAGCTGTAAGAGTCCACTCCACAACACCACCACCACACGACTGTCAGCGACTACTCCGCTCCTTCCCCACCAGAGCTCTCGCTGCACCCTCTGCCTGGCGGGGGGGGGGCAGCTGTAATTAATTTGCACTTGCTACAGTGAGTGTAGAAAGAGATCTCTGAAAAATAGTACTGGTCCACCTCACAGAGGGAGATAAACAGATAAAAAGGAAACAGCCTGTTTTCATAGCCTGCACATCTTTAAGAAGGAAATCAAGAAAGCCTCCTTCGGCTCATTACCGAGCTCCTAGCACTCCCCTAGCGTTCCGAGTACGGCACGCACATACCCTCGGCCAGATGTGCCCCGGATGAGCACCCCCTCACGCTCAGGGGGTTTGTCGCTTTAGTCTGACACAAGATGTGCTTTTGTTACTACCCTGCATTTCTTTACTTTAGGCAACAATTAAAAATGCTCAAAGATAAATTAACGTCCTAATTGTAAGGGGGAGGATTCATATCAATGAGCACAGTAAGAATCTGTGCTCCACTGCCCACAAGTCCTGCTTCAGCTTTGTGTCGTTTGCTCACTCCACTTGAGCGCTAGAGAAAGCTTAGTTCAACCAGATAGAAGCATTCTGATGCGTTTCAGCCATGATTAAGGATTCGTTACCAAAATACTCTGAAAATCTCTAAAGGGCATAATTTTGAATATCCAAGGGCCGCATTAGCTCTCATTGAAAAAGAAGGGTAAGTGTTTGGCATTTTATTCCCACTTCCCAGTGTTTTTCCTGTTTTGATTCTAAACGTTATCCTGCTGTTGATGGAAATACCAAGTGAACACCTACGCTTGGCGTTAGGCCTGTGTCCAGAAAAACAAACATTAGCTCCAACTACATTAAGCACAAATGAAACGAAGAGCTTTTTTCCCTTTCATTTCAGTACTCTTTGTAAATGAATGTGGCACCACGCACCAGTAAACATGGCAGATTTTTGCTGTGCCTTCTGCAGAAGTTAAATGGCCACAGTATGTTCCTATATTAAAATGCTAGTATTTAACAAAAAAAAAAAAACAACAATCCAAAACACTTAATGAAGCTCAGCCGCTTCCGCAGGCCACTGATTACCTTCCTAGGAAGAGGACATCTCTGATTTTCTTTCCTAACATTTAGCAATGGCCTGTGCCGATTCCTGCAGCGTGGGCAATGCTGTGAAATACACAACTTTGGGGTCTAGCTCTGTCATTATGACTAGATTAAAAATTAAACTAGGTCTGGGACTTCTAAAACAGGAAAATACATTTAAAAGAGCAATCTTAGATCTTTAAAGGTCTGTTTTATCATATCACTGGTTTCCTTCCTGGAAGAGTCTGTCATTTTTTTTTCCACATGATGAATTTGCACTAATTCTGATAGGCTGTGGCTCGAGGCAGGTATCGGGAACGCTTCCTGCAGGCAGGTGCTGGGCTTGCTTCCTAGCTCCCCTCTTCCAGTTAACTTCATTCCTGACCTGCCATAGCTCTTTTCCCGCACGATGCTTGTTTGAGGAGGTAGCAAAATCCGTGTGAAGCAAACAAAAGGTGGTCTGAAACAAGCCCTGATTTAGGTCTTGCAAGGGAATAGTTTAACTTGCCAACCCACCGAGCTCCTTAGCGACTCTGCTACGCCACGTCAATCGGCCTGCGGGCTGCGTTGAAAGTTCGCTTGCAAGTACAAAAGCCAAGCGAGGAGGATAATACAGACAGTACCTTAGTCTGTAACGTCACTCGAGATCCTGACGACTTAAAATGTTAAGCAAGCAGATTTTTAGGTGTTATGTGTGCTAAAATAAATGTCCACTAATATGGAAAAAACGATATAAACATTAAGCACTAGTAACGCAAATAAAACCTGTCTATATAGAAAAATGCATGGCTTGCTCTCACGTCATGCTAAAGTGTGGTGAAGTCTGAAACAAGAATTATAAACAAAGTCCTAAAACATGAAGACAGTAATCACGTGGAGTTCTGGAAATGCATGTGGTTCCCTTTAATGACACCATCATGGAATTGAGATTAATTAAAAAAAAAGTAATTATCTTTACATCGGTATTTTGACTTCATTTTCAGTATCATGGTATTTTGAGCTGATATTTTTATATTTCACCATATCACTTAGCATTTTAAGTGGCTCATTCATACTCTGAATTTACTGCATTCCCTTTAACGATATCACATTTTAACACCCCTAATTCCAGTCTGATACTAATGGTATCCGCAGTAATTAGCCTTCATTACAGGAAAGCTTAAGTATGAGAAGATGTCTTCGGTGGGAATATGCCCAGCATTTCTATTATTAATGACTTCTGGAATCTATTGGACCATAAACGATGCAAATGGCACCGCATCTTTTCCTCTCTGCTGACAGCTTCTTAGTTTTGCCCTCTTAATGTAAATTTATAACTGCAATACTGGGGGGAAAAAGGAAGAAGCACGATAGAGAGCAAATTGTGCTTGTTTTTGAAGAACGTGAGCTCAAACACAGTATGAAGACACAGAAAACACTATCAGGCTTCTGGTATGTGGATGAACAATATCAAGCAGCTTGTAAAAATTAGTGATGCTGTATTTACAGCACACTAAATTTTTTAACAAGAAGTGGGTCTGCGCTTCAGACTGCGTACAAATCTGGTAATTACATCCCCACCTTCCTTATGTCACACAGCCAGACAGAAGGAATTTCCTCCATCCATATTTCCACTTTCCTCTTGCCTTGTGCAAAGGCCGAGCGGACCGGTAAACCAGAGCAGGCAGAAAGCTGGTTCTGTAATCTGCCTGCAGCTGGCTGAAATAGGAACTACACTGACCTGTCTGTAACTTTATCAGCTCCACCTTTTTTCTGTAAGCCAGGTACCACATTTCCATTTTTTTCCACAGTCTTCTGCTAATTAAGTATTCTCTTCTGTTTCCCTAAGATCTCAATTTCCCCTACACCCCCTATAAAATATCATCTACCTGCATTCTTATCCCCTCTACTGCTCCTGTGAAGTGCCCGGCACGTGCACCAACCATTTTTCATCTCAATGAAATGGCCCGACCTTCCGTTCATGCTCCTTCTCTGCTGATTCTGAAGAAAGCTTCTCTGAAACTTCGTCTTCTGTTTCTCTAACGACATCACATGTAATTAAGGCTTCCTCTTACACAAATGCAACCTCTGCTTCTCCACTTAGGGGTTTAAGATTCACAGTTTGATTTTTTTCTTGCAGCACTGAAGCATTTGTTTTTCCTCATTTATCCCAGCCAGCAATATCCCTTTCAGATACACAGCTGGATGACACCCATTAGCAGAAGAGCCCACAAGGAAAGCATCCCTTGCGTCACGCTTTTTCCAAAACAAATGACAGTAAGTGCACACAAATGCATCTCCAACGTACCTGAAGTGGCTGGCTCCATACAGAGCTGTCTTCCTTTCCCAGAATCCCGAAGAAAGCACAGGATGGATTTTAATCCCTTTTGTATGACATCTTTAGGTGGAAATTCAAGGGGGCAGTGTCTCAGATTCAAGGCTGTCAGCGAAGTTAAGTTTCCTGTGAAAACAATGTGATTTAGCAAACACAGAATCATGGAACAGCCCAGGTTGGAAGGGACCTCAAAAGGTCACCGGGCCCAACCTTTCAGCATTTTGAAAGATGTGTGAGTTCTCAGACATATACAGTAGTTGAGTCAAAGTGAACGACTGGTATTTACTGTGTTTATGATCATTACCATCATTACATTACTAGCTAACCAGTACAACCCCTCAGCTGCTGATCTTATGCTTTTACTCATAGATGAATGGCATTTGTGGTGTTGAGAAATCAGGGGGGTTTACCTGTATTAATTTTTTAATATGAAAGGAAATGAATTAAAGATTTTAACTGAAGTTTTCCTTCTTTTCTTTCTAGTGCGTTGTTCTGATTTTCTGCTGCTGAAGTCATTGGGTCTATGTTACTCCTCACTCCTGGCCTCACCATTAGTTCTTCTTGCCCAGGAAAACAAAGGGCCACCATCCCACCATCCCTCCACAAGAAACGAGAGCGATGTAAATCTTTAGCCTCCCGAGGGCTACTGAGCTCCTGCATCCCGCAGGCCTGCCGCAGCCTCCTACTCCTCTCACCCGCGGAAGCACACGCAGCACGGGTTACACACGTAACGAGAGGGTGACGAGCAGGGTGGCAGTCACCTGGCACGCTCTGCTCACCGCCTGGTGAAATGGGAACGAAGCGCAGACTACGCACAATCCATTTCGGAAATCAGGTTTATGCTGATTATTTGTATTTATAAATATTTATAAATTACGTTCCACAGAAGCAAAAGAAAATTGCAGAACTAAATACTTCCAGTCAGTTTTGATCCAAACCAAAACACAAAACAGTTGAAATCTGTTAAATCTTTCAAAACATAAGGGTACCAAGTCTCTAAAAGAAAGGTAATACCATGTTTTGTCCTGACATTTATTTTAGACTGACATATGGTTTATAATAATGTATTTAGGAAGTGCAGCATTGAAAACAACACAGACAACCTCAATCTAATAAATCAGAATATATTTTTCATATTTTATTATTGGAAGCACACTCTAAATCTCCATTCACAGCTTGACTGTATACTCTACCCTGCCTCACTTGCTACAAGTTGACTGCTTAAAATTCTGACTGCGTCTATCTGCTTTACTCGTTACAGCATAAAATGGTATATTGGCTCTTTTAAAGTGTTTTTGTAAAACCTTACTTGCAGAAATGACAAATACCGTTACTAATAGCACAGCTATTTCATTTTAAATTACCAGTAATTAAAGCTGAAAGGAATGTTACAAAACAAATTTCACAACGTGATTAACAACTCCATTTGACATTACTGGTCTGGAAACGTCGACTATGGCAGTACTGACAAAGTACACTTAAAAAGAAAAAAACAAAAACCAGCACGAGAAGGCAAAGGGCAGCTGCGGAGGTGCTGGGGTCCTCGGGGAGCCCAAAGGAGCTCTTCCAACTTCAGCGTTGGGGACAACGGCTGGGTCCTTCTGGGTCTGTCCTCTTGGGGGAGAGACGCGAGACCCCGGGGCACATGGGCTCCTTACATCAAGGAGTCAGCATGCACAACCTGCTACGTGTGAAACCACACCACAGCTTCACAGGAAACTTACTGCAACGTCCTGTTACTGCCACAGAATGCGGATTTGTTCCAATTTCACTGACATGGAGAACAAATGCACCTAACACTTACTGCTTTTCAATTACATTCTAATTTTTCGTTTTCTGGTTTTTTTTTTCGGTCAGCCACAGGGTCAGAGCTGACCGGTAACTTATCAGCAGCCTAAGAAAAATGGAGTTTTGCCATCCCAACACCAACATAGTTACTCACTTGAGAGTGAAGGAAAATTCAGCTCACATCTCAAAAACATTCAAAACTTACTTTTTTCCCCCCACAGACCATAGCTAGAACTAGAACTCTCAAATTCTAATCAGAATTATTTCTTTGAAGTCTGCTAAAGTTGAACTCAAACTGAGAACCAATGTGTCCTGGTTTCAGCTGGGACAGAGTTATCTTTCTTCCTAGTAGCTAGCCCAGTGCTGTGCTTTGGATTTAGTACTACAGAATGTTGATAACTCGCTGATGTTTTTTGTTGTTGCCAAGCAGTGCTCAGACTACTCAAGGACTTTTTGAGCTTCTCCTGCTTGGCCAGGGGCAGAACAAGCTGGGAGGGGGCACAGCCAGGAGAGCTGACCCCAACTGACCAAAGAGCTATTCCAGACCATGGAACGTCATGCTGGGGGGGTCAGTCGATGGGTTGCGGGGAGAGTGATTGTGGCTCGGGACGGGCTGGGCATCGGTTGGTGGGTGGTGAGCAATTGCGTTGTGCATCATTCATTTTGTATATTCTGTATATTCTCTTACCATTCTCATTATTACTATTATTATTAATTTCTCTTATTAAACTGTCTTTATCTCAGCCCACAGCTCTAACCTTTTTTCCTTCCCGATTCTCTCCCCCATCCCACTGAGGGAGAGGGGAGCGAGCGAGCGGCTGCATAGTGCCGAGTTGCCAGCCGGGTTAAACCACGGCACAATGAAAACCAGAACTGTCTGAACCATTACTCTGAAATTGCGCTCAAATTGCAACTGGGGTGATTTAGATAAACTGAACAGGAATGGGACTGGAAAAATTGTTGAAATCCCCAGGGAAACACCGAGGTGAAAATTTAATTGCACCGCATGTGTATCACATGCTGGCGGCAAACCCAACGTACTGTTGTTGTGTTGTAAGTTAAGTTTATGAAGGAACAACACGGAATCAGCCTGCCACCATCCTGCGGAAGGAGACGAGTTCTGAGGAGAGCTCAGAAGGGAGGAATTACCTGGTGCCACGGGTCAAGGGAAATACTCAGGGCAGAGAAAATGGGGGGGGGAAGCACAAAGGAAGATTTACTTGACTACAACTTAGAACAGACCAGCACTGCTGTGTACATACTTACCTTACAGAATAGCTAAAGTGCATATTCTTGCACAGAAACTAAATATGCTGTTGTGTAATTATTGCTGTTGCAAAGAACTATATCCACAGAACTCGCATGCGAGTGTAGCTCTGTCAAACAAGCAAGCATTCCAGTGCTCTGAACAGTCGTATTGATTGCTGTCAGTACAGCTTCGACGATGAGGAATGCTGAGGTTTGGAGGGTTATTGAATTTACTACATTCTTACAATCTAAAAACAAAAGTTTGCTAAGCGAGCTGCAATTACCGTAATGCCTTTTCATACAGTCATGATTCACAAATTAGAAAATTACTTCAAATAATCATAAAACACAAACGCAGAAATGGAAGAGCTACACTATTAACAAGAAGAAATGGCTTTGAAATGCACCTTGTAAAGAACTATTTGGGAATACAATTAGATTTAAAGTAGTTTAGTATGAAGAAATTAAATCTATTTTTAAACAGAAATGATCAAAATGAATCACACCGATGACTTCAGTATTGGAAAAATGAAATCTCTTTTTTATCTTGCTGAAAACCACTCAGGTTTGAACATGATTCGAATGTAGTGGGGGAGGTACACAGGACATGCAGCTACAGCTCACGCTGCACGACGCAGTGGTGCACGCTGACTTCACTCGCACGCCTGGGAGGATGGCAAATGGGCACTCTGCCTCTCAGCACCCTTTCCAAAACGTTTTCCTTAAATTTTAAACTGCATCACCTACTGACATTCTTCAGGCTTCAGCACTGTTCCAGGATCATTCTAAAGAACGCTTCAGGAGATGCATCAATAATATTACCTATCTAGCTCCTACGCAATGCCTTCTTTACTAGGCTTGAGGAGTTTTCCAACAGTATCGTCATCCCCGTTTTACAGCAGAGGAAACTGAGGCGCGGGCAGTCCGGTGACTTACCCAAAGCCAGGTAACTCTGACTTCCCCAGCGAGCCACTGGTAGTCCCGGAAACAGAAGGAGCGTATCCCAAGTTCCCCACAACACTGCCCACCTAGTGCACAGTACACGGGAGCTTGAGATCGCTTTTTGAAACACGTTGGCTGGCGATGACTTGTCATCTTTGCTAAGTAAATTTGTAACACATGATAACCCTTACACGAATCAGGTGAGCCAGTATAAACGCTCTAGGAACAGCCACTGGCGAATAACAAAACTGGTTTGTTACCATTCAGACTTCTGCTCCCCTTCCAAAGATTTTTCACCCATTGAACAGGTAGCTTTTAACAATTAAAAGGTTTTTTGTCAATGAATGAAGGCAAACATTGCACATTCATTCCAGATCTAGATAAAAACGCACCTAATGAATGCAGACTAACAGCTGAGAGAGACTTCTCAAGCATCATCCTCCAAACTCGTCTCAGTTTACATTACAAACTTTTTGTTTGGTATCGATGCTACCAGCATTGTAAGATTGGTATTCTACTTAATTACGAGAGGAGAAGACCAAGAATCGCAGGACAATAACTCCAATTTAAGGTAGTGCTGACGCTGTCGGCATTAGCTCCTACTCTGTTTCTTATCTAGGTGGTTACGATGGCAAGCGTACAGACAAGAGAGCAATAGGGAAGGGTAGGAGGAAGAGTGGGCTGGGAATTAGCTCATGAAACATGATTTTGTCAGAGAAGGCTGCCTTGTCAAAACATGAGTGTTTTGTAAAAATACACCAGCTTCTGACAGCCCCTCGCTATGCCACAGCCACAATTCCCTGGTTTTCTCCCGGGTGGACTGCTCGGTGATCTCCCCAGGTCCCCGTGAGCGGAGAAGCCTGTGATGCAGGCTGCCTGGGACGTGCAGGGGACTCACAAGTCCTGGCAAGTGCAGCTCCACCAGAGGGAAATGAGAAGCCTTTAGCAGCCTGGATTAAGGCAAATCCTTGCATTACATGTGCCATCCTCTAGCTAAGGTTCAAATCACTGTGCCGGTCCAGCTCTCGCATCGTCCACTACGTAAGGAGTCTGGGAGCAGAGGGAGGCACAGTTCTGCAAATCACACGTGTACATATACACAGACACACGTATCTGTATATGTTACACGCTGGCAGCTGTGGTATACACATATATGGACATACAGGCTCTGCCAAGGGAACATATCGTCCCAAGTAAAGCATGTGGTTGGTAGGACAGCATCACCCCAGCGCAACAATCCTGCCAGCCTTACCCAGGATCCCTGTGACCGTTCAAAGTACTGAAGTGGCCGTGTGCGAGTGATTAAGGCAAACGATGCTGTAAGTCACGCTAGTAAAGCTGGCAGAGCAGACCAGCCTGGCCTGGGCCACCCCTACTCAATCAGGGTATCGCTGCACCGCTCGCTAACGAGCACGCACACAGCTTTGGGAAGCCTGGCTGCGGCCGGCCTCTACGAATGCCTCCAGCCATCTGTCATCACCGCACTGCTGCCCAACAAAACCTGCCCTGAAAATCCTGCAGCGCTCTTTTCTGATTGCTGTGGCTTGATCAAAACCTCCAACACAGCAGGCATGCTGGCATCCTTTTTTTGGTACCTCTCGTCCAGAGAGCCAGGGGAAACGGGCTAAGTGTCACATATGGTAGGATTTCCCTCATCTCAATACCAAGCTGTGAAACCTGTAATGATCGAAGTATTACAGTAGAAAAGTGTCCTGATCCAGGATCTGTCCAGAAAACAGCATCGCATAAAACAAGTTTTACTGTACAAAGGCCAACATACCAGTGGCCCATTCTACTTTGAGAGACCCCATGACATTTAAATCAGCAAATAATCGTTTTTGGTTCAGTCACCACTCAGCTTTGGAGGTTCATCTCCCAGGGACAGCCTCACAGCTCAGACACCACCAAACAGGGACAGGCCCCCCCCAGCACTTATGCTGTGAGGGCTCCAAGAGCCCAGGGAGCCCCAAGTGGACCATCCCAGGAACCCATGCAACTTGCTCTGTTTTCCTTAGGAATATTTGATTTGGAAATATTTGTTATTCCAAAGTAGTAACTGGTAGTGGAAAAAGAGTTCATAAAATGAAGTTACAAACTGTAAAGACATCCTGAAGCGTAAGGAACTGCTGTAGAAGTTCTCAACTCTCATCACATTTAGTTATTCATGTCTTACTATGCAGATGCCCGAGACATCTGATGTCCGAAACGGGTTTTTTACTTCAGCCTTAGTCAGAGAAACAATATTGAACATTTCTGACTAGAACACTACAGGCATCGTACCAAAATTTTCCCTCTTATCAATAAAGGCAATCATTATAAATAACATAAGTCATTTCCCCCCATCATAGCACATGTTCGTGGTAAGTTAGAACCATTCTTTATCTAAAGTATTTTAAAGTCTAACCACAGAATTAAACACTAAGAGCCAAAAAATGTCTATGATACCTCCAAAAAAAGTAGCAAGTACTTACCAAGCTCTGCAGGTAGCTCTTTTATAGGATTCCTTTCTAAAAGAAGAGTTTTCAATTGCCTTTTCAATAAAACAGAAAATAGTAGCAGCTGTAAGAGCAAAGTTCATTTAATTAAATAGAAACACAAGAATATTTTTCCTCCTTAATTTTTTTCTTGCTTTTGTTTCCTATTACAGAAAGGACTCCACAAGGCAAATCCACGCTCCTCCGTCGCTAACAGCAATGCTGGTTAATAACACACCCCAAAGCTCTCTGGTACGACAATCTGAAGTTTGCATTTACACCCATTTATTATACGCTACTTCAGTGTTCAGCATTTGATCTTTTTTTGCAAAGCCTGCTTATCACTTTAAAGTCTGATCCTGACTGTTCCAATTATAAACACATCATTTTCAGTTGTTTACAATTTTGCTGAGCTTCAACTGTTTGGGTTGAGTGTGTTCCTCAGGCTAAATCTGAGCTAAAATTGCTCAGCCATTTTTGACAATGAGATTAGAAAGAAATATGCCCTATTTGTATTTAATTTTGTCAACTTCTTTTTTTGAAAAGCTCCAGTATTCCTATTCTTGGAAGCAGCTTAGAAGCTTGGCATGGGTCACATACAACATTTACGGCATTTATGTCACATATCAGGTAATTTTTTTTTTTTTATATATCTGAAAATCTGCTAACATTTAGACAACTCCTAAGCTTCTGAAAAACGTCAGCATGACTGTGCTCAGAAAACAATTGGTATTGTTTAGCAAGTAAAATGCCCAGCGCTGCTGTACACACTGTTGCCTGGAGCATCTCTAATGAGAACCTCTGGGCTACTGCATGCTCAGGGTACAGGGACGCCTCATCCAACGCAGGGAGGTCGTCTCTTTCTCCCCTTGTAGCACACAGCCGCTGACGCCCCCGCAGCTATGAAAGGGGGACCATACAGAAACCATACTTTGCCTATTTCTTCAGTTTTGACTGCTTCATTTTGCCATTTCAATAGCATCCTTTCAAATGGCTTTTAATATCCAGCAACATATTAGATCAAATAATATTCTATAGACAGAAAAGTTAATGGGTTTTTATTTACTGGAGTTGCAATTTGACTTGTTTACTGTTAGAACTGCACAAAAACAAACAAGAAGAAAGCTTGGTAGTTTCTGTCATAATATTTCCTTACCTCTAGGAAAGAAAAAACAAATCAAACATTTTGGCAGCTGCTCAACACCAGATTAACATTTGCGGCAATATTTTAAGACATTTCAATTCAGTCAAAAAATGAAAGCACTGTGTTCATGTTCTCATTTTTGAAGTGGAGTACGGAATGCCATTTACAGCAAAGAACTAAGTGAAAGCAACAGGAGGTTCCAGACTCCGAAACCCCAATTCCCCCAGTCTGAGGGGCCACGGTACGCCGGGGCGATACCGCTGCCTCGGAACCCTTCGGCATTTATGGCCCTGTGCATGCAGAGCTGAGGCCCTGCGCCACAGCCAGTGCTCGTTCTTGCCCAAACGCAACCTCCGTGGCAAGGGTGATGTGGAACGTGCCCTTGGCTGATCCCCGCCCAGCTGTACATCCAGGTCTCGCAGAGATTTCTAGAGGGAGAAGTGTTAAGAGTGGTACTTTGCCTCTCTGCATGCCGGGCTAAACACATTTCAGCAACTGAGGCCAAGTTTTTGTTTGGCCTGGAGAAGCTCTTATCAGAATATCTATTAAAATCAGAGATTCACGAACAACTTGAGTGACCAATCGGTCGGGCCCCAAACTAGCACAACGTCTCAATGAGTCTCGGCCGTTGACAAAAACGACGCACTCAGCTGTTTTGAGAAAAGGATACCGAGAGAATTTCCAAACATCTTAAAATACACCTTCTGCTGCAACATCTAGTAAGCATAAAATGAAACTACAATAGTGTTGAGAAAGCCAAGTAATATTCAGTGCATGTTTCTGATGGGCGTTTTCTAAAAGCTGAGCTGCTGTTTGAAGTCAGTGGAAAAATACAAACAAGATAAAGCATAAAACACACAGGGACTAATGACTGCCACATTATTTGCGGGGAAGATGCACACAGAGAATGTCTTAATCTCAAAGGATCTCAACCACTCGTACAGTGATGATCACGTAATTTACAAACCATATTAAAATATATTATCAGTCCCGTCCAATTTAAAAATAATTTATGAAAGCTGTATTTAAAAGATTTGAAAACATCATTAAACTCGACATTTTTCAGCTATTTTTAGAGACATAACCTGCAATTACTGTATTTCTCTAATCACAAGTTGAACATATAACGATTCAAATAAGTGATCTTAAACTACCTTTAAGCATCTTGTTTCAATCACAACATGCCATGAAATTGTGGGGTTAGGGGTTATTTTGCGTTTGTTTTTTATTTTTAAATTAAATTCTGTAGCACATACTGTTCAAGGGTTGCGTCCTTTACTTCCTTACTCTTCACTTTAGAACCCCAACTGCAAGCAAACTGTCCTCTGCTGGTTTGGTTTGGGTTTTTTTCCTTCCAGTAACAAAACCATTTCTTTGCTCCTGTTAATTACCGTACGCTGTGATTTGTGGTCTTGCACTTCCGGAGCGAGAAGCAAGGAATTGTCCAAAGACATTAAAAACCCCAGCTGGTGAGAAGTCAGTTTTGGTGATCACACCAACGTGAGCAAGCACACTTTCCAGGGTCACAGCAGTACGGTGTATTTTCTTCCTCGCACGCTCCATCCTAATCACCAACAGCCAATTAATCCTTCCAAGGGTTAATACCATGTCAGCCAACCATCAAAACCAGACTAACGAGTAATAGTCTTTGACTGAACTGGTCTGCATTGTCACTCAGGAGTGACACTAGGTTTGAAACTGTGGGTCCCTATTTTCACACTGTAATAGTAACCTACAGTCAATAAAATTAAAATGGTGCAAAGCCTACGTGAAAAGGCAAACGGGTCCTACATTTCTAAAGCTCAGAGTTCAGAAATTCACTATGCAATATTAATTGGACCTTTCTGTTCATCTGAGTTTTAGTAAACCAAATTAAGTTTATTTACCGCTCTCCCGCACGGAGGTCAATGCCAAACAGAAGCACACAAAAGTCTGACTGCTACAATGAAATTACAGCAAGGCAAGCAGAAGACAAATACAATTGTTATTAAATTATCCGCATGACCAATGATCTTACCTGTGGTAACCGATTCCAGGGGGAAGAGCTTTAATCTTGTTATACCGGAGATCCAGCCAGACAAGATGCGGCAGCTTTTGAAATAAATCCTCGGGAATCGTTGATATGGCATTTCCCTCCAGATGAAAGTACTACCAGAGAACAACATAAACATGCTTTAAATCCAGAAAGACAGGGGCCGCTCCTTGGCACATCAAATGTGAAAACTCTAAACTGCTCTACATTTTTATGGGAAGAACACTGCTAGAGGGAATTAAAGGATACACAAGTCAGGCGTAATTTATAAAGGACCTTTTCTTAAAAAGCCCAAACAAAACAACAAAAAAAACCCAACAACAAAACAGACCAGGGATTAAAGATCATAGGTAAGAATCTGAAGCTTTTCCACTCAGCTGACGAAGCACCGAGCCCCTAACTGCTCTGTGCTTACTCAGGCCAAGGGTATCAGAACTACTCGTAACGATTCACTCGCCTGTACGCTGGGCAGTCTATACATTTCCTCAGTAAGATGCTCAATATTTTTTCTGCTGACATCGAGAGTACTTGAAGACGACAGGAGACACTGCTCAACAGCTTTCCTGATCTCTTCTGACGAATTAGAACCAGACAAATTTCTCTTTTTAAGATGTTCATCTCCAAAGTTATCGCCGCTGCCGTTGAACTCTTCAGAGTAGCTGTCACCCATCTGCCAGAGCAAGCCTGGAATACAGGCTCAGGAATTCAAACCCACCAGCCGAAGGCCGGTCATGAGCTGAGAAAGACAACAATGCGTTGTGGAAAAAGAACACACACAACCACAGAAACACAGAATGTTTGGGGTTGGAAGGGACCCCTAGAGGTCATCTAGTCCAACCCCCAATGCATGTTTCTTTTATATCTATTATTAATTTGCAGATTATCCCCAGTGCCATGTGTTCTTTGTACGATACAAAAATCAAGTTGTGCTTTATATACATACTCATAATAGGGTTTATTATAGAGTTTATCATAAGACATATTTAAAGGTATAGTAAATAAGAAAACCCATTTGGCCCATGTGGCTATTCCGCCCCGCACACCACATCCTATGTGGGCTTGGCGGAAACACTGACACACACAAAGAGCCTTCCGACAGCAGACGGCCCTGCCCACCCTCCATCCCGGCTCTCACCGCTTCTCCCCGTTCCGCTGAGCCTCGCCCCTTGCCGGGGGCGCCGGCGGGAGGCAGGGAGCGTGGCGAGGCCTCGGGGGCCCTTCCA